TTACCGAAGAGTAATTAAGGCATTAGCGTCTCTATTGACTGGCAAAGCTCCTGCTGTCCCGGAGGCTGCCGGGGATGGAGTGGGGCGCGATGCTGGTCCCAGCTCCCTTCCCCTTGCCCGGTTTGTCCCGGTTTCTGCTCCCCGCTGCCGTTTTGGGGTAAGACTGGAAGGAACCGGCCCTTTGCACAGCCCTCACCTGGGAAAGCTGGTGTCCTGTTGGACAGAAAGGAAGAGAAGGGTCGGAGCCTGACCCCCAGCAAAGGGATGAATGGAGCGAAATCCGAGGGAGTTCTGTCCCGGTGGAGGGAGGGGGACCTGCCCCCTGCCCCCTCTCCTTTGTGTCCCTGCTCTCAGCAGCTCTCTGAGGGTCTCTCTGCAGGTGACAAGGACATCAGTGACCTTTTGGGTGTTTGTCCTGGTGCGAACATAGACCAGGACAGCACTCTGGGGGGAAGGCAGCTCTGTAAGGACTCCCTTGGATATTCCCGGTGCCAGAAGGGAAGGCAACAGGCTGGAGCTGCCTCTCCGAGGAGGAGGAGGAGGGTAACTGGAGACACTCTGCCGGTATCGATCCAGCCCTGCTGCCCCCGGGCAGAGATCGGGCAGACACGGGTGTCATTATCGTGCTGATGTGTCCGTGTCTGCCCCGCATCGATCCCGGGGACGGGCGCGGCCCCGTCGTCGCTCGTTCCTGGCTGATAAAAGCCCCCTGTGTCCCGTGAGAACGGTGGGAGCAGCCGCCTGCACAGCCCCGAGAGACGCCCAGACCTTGGGCTTGGAGGCTCCCGCGGGCAGTGGGAAGCGGTGGATTTGAGGCTTTGGAGCAGTCCCTGAGTTCCAGGAGCTTGGAATTTCTGCACCAAGTTCAGCTCCTCTGTCATCCTTCCCTGGGGCAGGGACTGAGTGTGGCCCCAGTCTGCACTGGGGGGGTCTACAATGGGCAAAAAGCGCTTTTTTTCGTCTCACTGTTGCAGTCGGGGTGGGGAGGGGGTGGGGGGAGCCCCCCCTGCAACAGGAAGCACTAATGCCTTCATCCTCTTAGCGAGGCAATTCCACCTCCATCATCCACAGAGCTCCGCTGCTCCCCCTTCCCGCAGCCCCTTCCCGGCAGGGCCCGGCCCCAGGGAGCCTCTGCCGGGAGCGGGAAGGGCCGGGAGGGCAGGATGGGCCCCGGGGAGGGGGCAGCAGTGCCAGGAACGGGGGGCTGGGTGAACCCCGGGAGCTCCCGCGTCTGCTGGGCCTTGGGGGCTCCTTCTTCCCGCATATCCCGCATATCCCGCACATCCCGCACATCCCGCACATCCCGCATATCCCGCATATCCCGCACATCCCGCATATCCCGCACATCCCGCATATCCTGTGCTTCCCGAGGGTGTGGGGGCACAGCTGGCACCGGGAGGGTGCAGAGCTTTGCCAGCACAGTGTCCCAGACGTGCTGAACTTCCCCAGGGTGTGCAGGGACGTGCCCTGGGTTCCCACCTTGGAAGGGACCCCACTGCCCGCTCTGGGGTCGCGTTGACCTTGGCCATGGTCAGGGAGGGCTCCGTGAGGAGTTCTGGGAGCAGATAATCCCCTCTGGGAAGTGGTTTTGGGGGCCTGAACACCCTCCCTTCCTGGGGAAGGGCTGGTGAGGGAGGAGGGGACGCTGAGGACCAGCACAACCCCGCAGGCTCTGGAGCTGTGGGTGGCCGAGGGACGTGACCCGCAGGCCCGGCGTTGAGTTTTGAACAATGTTTTATTATATGTTTAGTGTTCTCTATACAAAAAAATCCCGTCTTTTTTTTCTTTTTACAGTGATTCAAAAAAAAAAAAAAAAAGATATCTGAGTATTTGGGCCTTCTTTCATCTCTCATGCAGTCGGTTTATAAGTCCTTATATTAAACATTTTATTTTTCCTGTAGTCCATAAATCTCCTCGCTGTAAACGGGGGATTTTACAGCCTCAGCTCGACATTTCTCCTTGGGACAGGTGGGTTAACTCAAAGGTGGTGGGGGTTTTGTCTTTTTTTTCCCTTTTTTTTTCTTTTTTTTTTTTTTTTGCTTTAAAAAAAAAAAGGCAAATAAATACATAGAATACTTTAGACCAACCAGGAGGTTTTACAGAGAGGACGGATGGATTGTGATATATATTTACAAATTAAAGAGAAACAAAATAGTCCCAATACTTTCTGTCTGGATGTGAGCAGGAGGGACAGACGTGGAAAACTCGGTGCTGTGAAGGAAGGACTCTGGTCTGCGGGGGTTTGACACGGCGTTCTGGGGGGTTTGACATGGGATTTTTTGTGGCTTTGACGTGGGTTTCAGACTGTGTTGGACAACCAAAGCCCGATGCCCGAGGCGAGGACACGGAGACAGGCGCTGCTGGGCAAAGGGAGCTACCGATGCAGTGGGTGATTTTTTTTGTCAGGACCAGAAAAGCATCGTTATTCTCGTTAATAAAACAGGTTTTTAGTGCAAGAAATAGATTTTTGTTTTTCCTCTTTTTTTTTTTCGCTTTTCCTTTTTTTTTTTTTTTTTTTTTTTTTTTTTTTTTAAACAAGTTTCGGGTTTTTTTATTGCTTAAACTGAAATCGGTTTTGCTGCTAGTTACACACGCTAAGCCTGGCACGAGGGTGAGGCGTTGCAGGGCGAACTCGCAGCTCTGCCGGGACCTGTGCGACGAGGAGAAGGCGGTGGGATGTGCCAGGAGAGGCGGTGGCACGGCCGGAGCGAGGGGGCTGCGTGTGCCAGGGTGGTGACGGGTGGCACTGCCCGGCCCTGCCCTCCACCCTCCCGCTCCCCCCCCGGCGGGGTCGGCGGCAGGAGCGGCAGCTCCACGTCGGGTCTCTCGGGTCAGAAGTGACCGTGACACGTGGGGTCGGGGTCTGTCACCCGCGAGAAGGCAATGCTGGCACAGGGGACGCTGCGGGGACGTCGTGACCCGGTGTCCCCTCGGGTTTCCGTGGGCAGGATTTCAGGGCTCGGACCAAAACTCCCGATTTTTCCCCCGCTGCTTTTTCCGCCATCGCTCCGGGGAGGACGGGAGCAGCCTCGGGATCAGGGACCCACGGCAGTGTCCCCCCAAATCCTGCGCTCCTGGGGCTCCTGTCAGCTGTCACACACGGGCAGGGTGCCAGGGAGGGCAGGCCGTGCCCGCCGACATAAATGAGGGTTATTTTTGTAAGGGAGGCGTTTAAGCCGCATCCTTCCCTCCCGTTTTCCCTGCGGGATCAGCAGCAGGAGCCACACAGGTGCTCAGGCCCGGGATCCTCGTGCCACGGGCAGCTCAAAGGACGTGGCCGAGTCCCTCTCACCAACCCCCAGCAGCAGAAATATTCCCGTTATAGCGACGTGTGTGCAGAGCAAACCCGCTCGAGAGCTGAGAGAACAATCGCATTAATCCCGTGGCAATCAATCCACTGCGCTGAACACAAAGAAAAACCTCCTCCTCGGGGGGGAAAAAAAAAAAGGAAACAAAAATCCATCCCGACGTCGCTCGTGGTCCGGAGGAACCAACCCTTGGATCTCTCTCAGCGAAGGTACCTTTGGTTTCAGAAGTGCAGGAACTGGGAGGACACGCGTGGTTTTGGCCGCTGAACACGGGCTGGCCCACAGCTCTGCCTCCTCCTGCGTGATCCACGCTGTGCCAGCCGGGATCCATGCTGTGCCAGCCGGGATCCATGCTGTGCCAGCCGGGAATGCTGCCCGGGCATCCTGCTCCTGCTGCCCTGGGGGTCGGGGCCGGTGAGGGGAGGGTAGTGCCAGTTCGGTGACCTCCCCGGGAAGTTCCAAGCTGTGTAAGGCATGTGGAGCAGCACTTCCTACCCGAGCTGGGGGGGTGAGATGCGGGGGGTTGATATGTAGAGAAGACAGCAGAGGTGGGGAGGGGGTCCCACGGGGAAGGGGCTCGCTCAGGCTGATTGACGGAGGGGGGAAAGGCCACTGTCAGAAATGAGGAGGGGGGACACACTGTCCGTCTGGGGGAGGTGTTACATCCCACCACGTGCCTTCCTGGTGTGTCCCTGAGCCCTCCGAGCTGCGGCTCCGGGGGATGCTCCACCCGAACCCGGGGGGTTCTTCCATCCTCACCCTCTGCCTTTGATTCCCTCTCAAAAACAAGCGATTTCCGACCGCCTCATCCTGGTCCTGCTTCCACGCCCTCTTTGCTACATAAGATTTATGGAGTTGCCTTTAAAAGAAAGCAGGTGTGGGCTGGGGGCAGGTCCCCCCAAAATCCTTCCAAAGCAAAGGCTGAGCCCCGATGGTTGGTTTGCCTGCAGCACTGTTCCCCCGGGGCTCGGGGGGTAGGAGGCACCTCACTGTCCTTCCACCAGTCCCACGAGCTCTTCTGCAGCCTCTTGTCCTCCGAGGATGCTCCGGGTGAGCTCCCGCGGGCTCTGCAGGGGGGAGGTGTTGGGGACCTGCTCTTCCCTGCAGAGGTGCTGCTCGATCTCCGGGGAAGGAGGTTGTGGCTGTTTTGGGAGAGGCCCTGGGCAAGGTGCTGCTGTGAGGATGGATGACTCAGGAGTACAGTGTGTTGTCACCCAAAGATCCACCACTTTCCTCCTCTCCCACGTTTGTGCTGCTCTGCCCAGGCCCCTCTCACCCCCCTTCCCTCCCCCAAACTCTTCGCTTTATTTCTACCCCTCCCCTCTTATCCAGAACCTTCCCGCCAAAATTAAATAGAAGAATTTCCAGCTCCCTCCCAAAAGAACAGAAAGGGTCCTCGCGGGGGGGGGGGGGGGCCTGGGCGGCCCAGCCCACCCTGCAGCCCCCTCGGGGCTGGCTCTGGGCGCCGGGGGCAGCCCCAAAACCGGGGTTCACCTCCAGCATCTCCCCTTCCAGCCCAGATCTCTGCCCCAGCTCCAACCCCGCGAGTCCCCGTTGGCTTTGTTTGCTAAGGATAAATGGCCTGGGCAGCCTCCTGGGCTGCCTGTTTGCTTCGACTTGTTTCTATTTTGTTTTTTTCTGTGTGTTTGTTCGCTTTTTCTTTTTTTTTTTTTTTGTTGTTGTTGTTTTTTTTCCCCTTTTTTTTCATTTCGTTTTTTGTTGGTTGGTTCCATTCCCACGTTCCCATCGTGGGGGGGCTGCCGTGGGACCCCCCGTGCCCTCCGGACCCCCTCAGGCTGTCGGTGTTCCCCGGGCACTGGGCTATGCCAACGAGTAGATGGCGTTGACCGGCGAGGTGGCCTCGGAGCTCTCGTTGCCTTCGGTCTCCTCCTTGTCCTTCTTCACGGTGTACTGGCCGATGAAGGAGCCGTCCTCGTTGAACTGCCCCTCTCCCCCCTCTCCATAGTCCACCAGGCTGTCGTCGCTCTCCTGCTGCTTTATCGTCCCGTCCAGCGACGTCTGGCTGTTGGGAAGAGGTTTGTTGTCTTCATCGCTGGGTGGCAGAGGACAGACAGACAGACACGGTGAGGGCTGAGAAACGGGGCCTGGGAGCCTCCACCCCGAGGGCTTTGGGGCGCTCGAATCCAGCCAAGTGTGGCCAAAAAGGGGGTGCTGGGGCTGTGGTGGGGGGGCTGATGTGCAGCTGAAGGGGGGCTCACGCCCAACCTTCACCCTTTTGCTTTGTGAAAATCAGGTTTTTAACCTCTGTCACCTGCAATTCTCGGGTGTACATTACAAACACCCTTCCCTCGCCGCTGCTCTGTCACTGCTTTTATTCCTTCTTTCCTTCTAACTCGGTTTAAGTGGTTTTGTTGCTGGATTTCCTCGCAAAAAACGCACTTTTTCGGGAGTCACATGCAATGGGAGGGCACTCCAAGCACTGCAAGGGGGCACATGGAGGATGCCAAGTTCTGTGCAGCTTCCAAAACTCGTGGGAATTTACCTTTCTCAGCTTATTTCTGAGCTTGTTCACTTACTTCTTCACTCAATTCTTTATGCTTTTCCCTTTTTTTTTATTTTTTCCCCACTAGAAAGATTTAAGCCAGGTCACTGGAAAATAAAGAGTTTGACCCACAGGGAAAAAAAACACCACCACTTTAAAGAAACCCTTTTAACAAATAAACTAAATGGGGAAAAGCTGTTTTCCCTCTGGAGGGGGAGGGCTGGGATCTCATAAATAGAGATGATATTTTTTGGAGGATGAGAGTGAATTCTCTCTCTCTCTCTCTAAATATATTTATATAACAATTAATTTTCGTATCAACTAGTCCTTAGTTCATGTTTGATCTTATGTCCAGCTTGCAAATTCTGTTGTATTCTGGCAGATATCACATTTAGACCTTAAATATTTGTGCTCCCACCTCCAATGCTGTCTTTTTATTGCTGTTGTTTTGGGGTTCGTCAGACTCGCTCCCTCTGCTCTGCTCCTTTATTTTCCTTAAAACAGGTTAAAGTATTGGGCTTTTTCTTTTTTTTTCCACTTTGCTTGGGCCAGGGAGCAAACTGGGAAGGCTTTAATTCTCCCTCATTCTGTCTAATTAATGGCATCAGCTCCGCAGTGGGAGAGGAATTTGGTGTCCCAGGGCACCACAGGCAGCTTTCCCCCCGTGTTTCCTCGGATCAGCACTTTGGGAACGAAGCAGCAACAAAAACCCAGGATTTGAGACCTCGTGTTAACTTGGCATCACAATAAAAAATAACTTCTTAGCTCTGAAAGCAGCTTTTTTTTGGGGAGGGGAGTAGGGAGTGGTGGGAGAGGAAGAATTCAGTCTGCAAGCAGGACTGAAGGTTAGAAAGCCCCAGAAACGCCAAGTAGAGAGTGGCAAAACCCAGATCCCTTCATTGGCAACGTCCTTTCCCAAGGTTTGGGGGGCAGGTGAAGCTGAATCCAGAGCCAGATTTTTCCCTAAATGGGAAAAATGCATTTCCTGGGCGTTCCCCCTGGTTTTTACCTCTCTCCAGGCCCATTTATCCCGTTAGTGCAGGGGGAGGGTGCAGCAGAGACTCATCAGCCCCTCGATGTAACACGACCCCAACAAATGGACTCCCGGGGCTCTGCCGGGTGTGCATTAGAGAACCAGAGCACCCAGATGGAAAAAACCAGCTGGGAGACGTTGTCCTGAGTGCCATAAATCCTCGGGAAGAGGGGGAGGCTTGAGCCAGAGGGAGGGTTTGCAGGGCTGAGACAAAGAGCGTCTCAGGATCCGGCGGTTCAGGGCTCGTGTCCCTCGTCCCCATCCCTGGGTGCTGAGGACACCAGGGTGCTGAGGACACCAAGGTGCTGAGGGCACCGAGGGCATCCCAGGTCCAACCCTGCTGCACCAGGAGGGCTCAGCAGCTCGAGCTGGGGGGGCCTGGCTGGCTCCTGGGGGGACCCCTCCAGCCCACGGAGCAACTTGGTGGATGTGGGGGTACCCCCAGTGCCAGCAGGAGTTAGAGGGGTCTTGTTTAATGTGTTAGGTGAGGCAGGAACACGGGAACAGGGGGAGGGGGAGGGGTTGTTTTTGGCTGTAATGAAATCAGTGGGCAGAAGGAAGGAAAATAAATTTAAAATAATAATAAAAAAAAAAAAAGCTAAATGTGCCGGACTTCTGGCAGCACGTGGTCCTACCTTTCAAGAGACCTTCATGGTCCATGTGGATAGACCAGGTGAAAAGGAGAAGAAAGAATGGGAATAAAACAGAGAGAAGCAGAAAAGAGCCTGATCAGAGAGAGAGATATGATGAGCTCTGCATTTACAGGGGGCAGTGCTAAAAACCAAAAGAGAAAGGCCCGCGTTCCTCGGGGAGTGCCTCGTTATACCAAACTGGGATCACTGCTGGGAGCTGCAGGAGCCTCGCTGGGATGTGGTTGGAGCTCACCAGGGAGCAGCTGTCGGGGGCAGTGGTGGCTCTGGGGACCAACATGCAGCAGGACAAGGGCCAAGGGAAAGGGTGGCTTGGTTTGCCCTCCAACCTTCTGCTGGATCTCCACGCCAGGGCCTGGGTGGTGTCACCAGACCTGCCCCTGCCCGGGCTGCTCCTGCAGAGCCCTGCCAGGGCCCTGAGGAGGGTCTGTGTCCTCCTGCCTCGCTGAGGGTGCCCATTCTGGCCAGCTGGCACTGCCTGTAGTGCCACGGGACTGCCCTGACCCTCAGCTGGAATCCAGCAGCTCAAACCACTCCGCTTTCCCTTCCCAACATCCCGGCTTTCCCGCCGGCTCCCCCACGCGCAGCGCCGGGACATTTTGGTATAATGAGGCACAGCCACTGGCACAGAACATTGTCCAAGGATAATGGTCTCCCTTGCTTTGGAAAATAAGCTTTCTCAGCTTTAGCCTCTGCTGGGGAAAACCATTATTCCGTGAGTGGAAGGGGAAGATGTGACAGCATCTCTTAATTAATTCCGGGGCTGCGGAGCCCCGCGAGCCGCATGCACGGGGCACTGAGGACGTGAGGTGTGATGGGAGCACATCAGACATGCCATGTGGAGGTGGGGAGGGGGAGCCACCGAAGGACTCACGTCAGCTCAGTCCCTGTCCTTGCTGGAAACGCTAATTGCTCCCCTCCTCGAGCCCAACATCACCATCATTTCCAATCTTAATCAGCCACCAGCGTTTCGCAGCCATCCTTCAGCTTCACCTTCCTTTCTGCCTCCTTGAGGGGAAGCCTCCTACTACTTCTCTCCCAGGAAACCTGTTGTTCCTGAGGAGGGGGGCGAAGTTTATGGGTTTTTGGGGTTTTTTTGGTTGTGCTTGTTTGATTGGGTTTTTTTCTCCCTCCCTGTTTAGTCCACAGGACAACATGATTGAAAACGTGGGAGCATCCTGGAGCTTGGCTGTTGTCCTCCTGCTGACTCGTGCCTTTAGCCTGCAAACTTTTGGGAATGGGGCTGCCAGTAAAAGATGGAACCTCAGCTAAAGCAGGAGGGTGAAGGATTTACCCCATTCCTTCCCCTTGCCTGGAAGTCACTGTGCCTTGGATGGTGCCAGGGCAGCAAGTGCAGCACTGCTGCCAGCCATGCCAAGAGCTTGGATTGCCTTCTGTGCCAGGCAAGTGGTCCCTGGCAATGGATTTGCCTCGGGAGCGATGGATGGGGGCGAGGAGGCCTCAGTGGGACCACCCTGGTGGCCCCTGGAGAAGAAGCAGAGCTGTGAAATGGGGGGGAACTGCCAGAAGCTCAGCTGGGCAGCCTGGGCTGAGCTCCGGGGGATGAGCTGAGCCTGGGGGGTGTATGGGGGGGAACCTCTGGGGGGATGAGGGGTTTGAGGCTTCCTAAGTGGGATTCACACCATCCCACAGCTCTGGGAACCAAGAGGCTCCCTGTCAGACTGAAATCATCGGGGGGATTGTCCTGGACATGAGCTGTGTGTTGGGGTTACGGCTCTGATCTGCACGAGGAGCACTGGGAAAATCACACCTGGGAAGGGATGTGTTTGATCCAGGGCACCAGGACCAGGCTGAGCTATGTCTCCTCTGCTGTTCTCAGCCAGGAATCTGAAGGGAACGTGCCCAGAAACCTCTGTGTGGATTTACTGCCACCCCTCCAAGTGCTGACCAGCTCTCCCGGCACAGTGAGGAAGGTTTTGTCCCCGGGTGTTGTTCAGGGCAATAAAGAACATCAGCCTTTCCCCATGACATGCTGCTTATTCTGGGCCCTGCTGGGTGTATTTGTATTCTGTTTGTGCCCTCAGAGGACTGAGGAGCTTTGGGCTTTAATGACATCCTTTGGAGAGGAGGAATCGCTGCTGAAATGGGGTTTCTGTGCCCCCGACAGCACAGACGTGATCTGGGGGAGGCTGCAGTTCTGCCTCCATTTATTGGGGTGTGCAGCCAGACTCGTTTGGCTTCCTCTAAAGTCTCTGGCAGAACACGTGTGTCTTCTTCCATCCCTCACTGAATCCCAGCTAAATTCCTCCCAGCTTTGCTCCCTCGCTTTGTAACGCTGGGAGCATCGGGAATGACGTGGGGTGGAGTTAACCCCCGTTCTAAGTCAGGAGAAAAATTCCTGCTGGCCTGACTGGGCTTTGGATCCAGCTCAGATGGGGGAAAAAAGTGCATTTTAGTTCTGTAAAGCAAAGCCAAGCCCAGTGGAGGTGCTGGAAAACATCCCCTCACCTGTCAGGGGGGGCAACGCGATGAGACCTGACAGCGGGACCTGCTCCCGCTCCCCGGGGCAGCCACGGAGAGCAGCAGAGCTGGGAATGCTTGGGAACGTGCCTGTCCCTTTCTGACACATCCTGGGAGTTTTCCTGGGGTGGAAAAGGGCTCTCTGCTGCTCTTTAAAGGGTGACATTTGCGTGCAAGCAGCAGAGTGGAGCCGGGGGAAGCCGGGGAGGTTTGGGCTGAACCCCTGCTGGGCTGGGCTGGAGCCCTTCAAGGGGGTTTGGGTGGGGTGACCTCACAGAAAACTCCTTGTTTGGAACGCAGGCAGACCCCAAAATCAGAGTTCTCATGTGCTTTCAGGGCTGATCCAAACAGAACTTGGGGCATTTCTCCCCTGGATACTCCCCATGGGCAGGAGAGAGGCTGAGCTACAGGGTGATGCTCCAGAAATACCCTCAGGCTGACACAAAGTTTGGGTTTTTGGGGGGATTTTCTGTGTTTGGAGTGTCATCAGGGTTGGTCTGCTCCCGCTGAGAGCTGTCCCATGGAGCTGATGCCAGATCCCAGCTCTGCCTGGGCTGCTCATCCCAGGCTGAGACGGGGGAAGGAGGAGCCCTGAGCAGCATCCTGGTCCCTCAGGAAGGGTTTCCTTTGGCAGAGGACTCTCCGAGGGAAGGAGGCAGGAGGAGGAAGGTGGGAGGAATCATTTCAGAGGCTGTGTGGCCCCGGGGGGGCTGTGGTTTTGGGAGGAGAGCGCAGTGAGGGCTGTGATGGCTGGGACAGGGGCTGATGGGGGGCTGGGGGGGGTCCACATGCCATGGGAACGTACCTGTAGTCAAAGGATCCATCTTCCACGTTCTTGTCCTCGGGATTTAGGTGCTCATCTTTATTGTCCCGGACTGGAAACAAGCAGAGCCCCACCAGGCACGTTAAAAGCAGGGCAGGAAATCAAGGATTTACGAGGCAGCACCAGCAGCTGGGGGGTCTGGGGAGGTCTGTGACACCCCTGGGGGGATTGGAGGGTAACTGCTCATGGACAGGTAAAAAACCTGCCCCTGGGAAGGCTCACAAAGGGTTTGCAAAAGGTCTTACAGAGGGTTCTCGAGGGGTTCACCAAACAAAGGGTGCTGGGTGTGGCTCCACGAGCACTCCAGACAGGAGTGACAGAGGGCATTAATTGGAGGATTCCCTTCAGTCTTCCCTTTTGCTTTGCAAAAATTCGATGAGATTTTTGCCCAAGAAGCCCTTTTTCCAGCTGAGGACGGGGAGATGTGCAGAGTGGGGGATTTTTTAGAGCCCAGCAGGAGAGCCCAGCTCTGAACCCGCCCCGAGCCCTCGCCCGGCCTTGAACGAACCCAAACTCTCCCCACCACCAACAGAGGAAGGAAATCCCGGTAATCCCAGTTATCCCAGAGCAACCCAGCTTGGCCATCCCCACCCTGGGGGAGCAGCAGTGGCCTCACCTGGGTATTTGCCCCCTCTGCTCCTCTTGATGAAGCAGACGATGAGCAGGATGAGCACGAGCAGGGCGATGGCACACATGAGCCCGATGAACCAGCCCTGCGTGGCGATGTCCACCTGGTTCTTGGTGTAGGCTGGGGAGGGCAGGAGGAGACAAAAAAAAAAGCAGCTGTGAGGGAGCAGAGCAGGAGCACAGGGGGAAGAGCTGAAGAGCAGGACGGGTCGCTGGTTTGGGGGTTCCCTTTGGGTGCCTCTGTGTGTTTTAGACGATCTGAGGCTGTAGCAGAACATCTGGGGAGGGTTTGGGGTGGGTTTTTTGCTTCCATTTCGTGGTGGTTGGTCAGCTCAGCATCCCACCAGGAGCTGCAAACAGCAAAAGGGGCACAGAGCAAAGTGAGAGCTGGCACAGAGCAGGGGGAAAGGGGCAGAAAGTCACGGCAGAAGCAGCTGGTAACAGGTTGGAGCTTTGGTTTGCCGGGTGTGGAAGCTGCCCTGGGAAGGGAGAAGGTCTGAGCCAAAGAAGATCCAGCCCTGGTGTCTGGCCCAGGAGGGTGCTGAGCCCTGAGGGATAAACTGGAGTCCTGGAGGGGATGGACAGAGGCTCTGCTGCCCTTGGGGGGCCACAGAGGGTCCCCAGGGCTCGGAGGGGACTCGTGGGAGCCCACCAAGACCTGGCTGATGCACCAGAGGGGATGCAAGCAGTGGCAACAGCTTTGAGGAACCACATCTGGGTCCCAGGGAGGTGAGAGGTGGTTTGATGGCACAGGAAAGTGTTTCCTCCTGGGGCAAAACCTTCCTTTCCCTGCTTCCAGCACCCTCCTGACTATTAGTGGAATTATGATGAGGCTCATGACTATTCATGGGATTAATCCCTAACAAGGAGGTGTCCTGGGCCCCAAAGAGCTCCTGACTGCTGTGTCCTCCCTGACGTTCCCTGGCTCCTGGTTTGCAGCTTTCCTGCACGGTCAGACAGACAAATCTGTGTCCTATAAATAGCTCCACGCTGCCATTTTCTGGCTCTCATTGACACGCACTTGGTGTTCAGCAAGACAGAGCAGAGGAGAAAATAACCTTCAGCGCAGCAGGGGGGGCTAAATTTAAACCAGGAGAACACTGAGGTGTTCCTGGGGGGGAGAGCTGGGCTGCTGGGGATCCAGTTGGGAACTGAGAGGGGCAGGGAGCAGCCTTTTGTCATGACAATCTGACAAGAGGCAAAGAAAGCACGGAACAGCCCTCCCTGAATGTGTTCTGAGTGAAAGGCTGAATGAAACCTGGAAAAAGGGGTGGAGTTGGTAAACTTTGAGGCATTTCAGGGCTTAAACTGTGCCTATTCCATCAGAACTGAGCCCAGGAGAGGAAGTTCTTTCCTCAGGATGAAATCTAAGCCACAGAGGAAATTACAGACAAATCATGATGAGGAAATTCAGGTAAAAGAGGAGAATGGCAAGAAGGAAAACTGCAAAGAAATGATGTCAAACCCTGAACTTTGTGTGTTTGGGAGCAGCACCGACCTCCTGGGCTCACCCAGGAGCTGCCTGATGGTGCCTTGGCTGCTTTTCCCCCCTAATGCTGCCAAATTCCACATTTACCTGAGCCTCACAGTCCTCGAAGACGTGCTTTTAACAGGAGACAATGAGATTATAACCCAGTGGGGCTGAGAACTGGATTCAATTAGCTGAGTGCTCGGGGAGGAAAGGGGAAGGAAGCTTGGAGATGGACAAAGATTGCATTAGCAGTGATGGGATGGGGCTTTTACAGCCAGAAACAAGGGGGTCTTCAAAGTATCAAATGCCTGAGAGGTGGGTTGGAGGGTTGGAGCTGAGTTTTACAGGCAGGGAAGGGAGGCTTTTGAGCCCCAGGGGATCTTGCAGCAGGAACCTGTCACCAAAGTAAGGGTGTCATTGCCATCCTTCCCAAAAAAGCAACACATGATGACGACCAAATTACAGGCACAGCAATTTGTGTTGGGAGTAAACGAGTGACTGTCATTGCAGGGTTGGGAGAGGGGAGCTGGAGGAGAGGGGAGCTGGAGGACGTGGCTGTCAGAGGGAGGCTGGGATTTGCTCTAATGGAAGGCCAATGTCAAGGGGAAGGAGGGGAAAGCAGCTGTGTGATCCCACAGGTCCTGATTGGAAATGCCACTGCAGAGCCTTTTTTAAAAATAAACTTCATTATGAGCTGGTGGCAGCAAAGACGTCACCCCAGAGTCAGGAGCAAAGCTGTGCCCCCCCAGCAGTGAAGGGTTTGTCTGGAATTGCACAAGGAGACCGCTGGGAATGTGAAGTCCCCCCATCTCCAGCCTTGTGTGATCCTCTTCCCAGAGTCACTGAGGTTGGAAAATCCCTCCAGGATCATCGAGTCCAACCTGAGCCCCATCCCCACCTTGTCTCCCAGCACAGAGCACTGAGGGACACATCCAGTCCTTCCTTGGACACCTCCAGGGATGGGGACTCCAAACCTCCCTGGGCAGCCCCTTCCAAGGCCTGACCACCCTTTCCATGGAGAAATTCCTCCTGATGTCCAACCTGACCCTCCCCTGGCACAGCCTGAGGCCGTTCCCTCTCCTCCTGTCCCTTGTTCCCTGGGAGCAGAGCCTGACCCCCCCAACTCCCCCCTCCTGTCAGGGGGTTGCAGAGCCAGAAGGTCCCCCCTGAGCCTCCTTTGCTCCAGGCTGAGCCCCCCCAGCTCCCTCAGTTCTCCTGGTTCTCCAGACCCTTCCCCAGCTCCCTCAGCTGCTCCTCATGGGACCCTCCAGCCCCTTCTCCAACTCTTTTCCCTTCTCTGGACACAGTGTTTGTCCAGGCCGAGGCACTTATTTATTCCAAATATAGAAAACCTCCTTATATTGAGCTTTTTCTGCTATTTCAAAGTGTCCTTTGCTCCTGGGAGGGGCTCTGAGCTGCCACTTAATCAGAGGCAAAGCCAGAGGGCCGTGTCCTGCAGCCACAGTGCAGGTGGGATAATTCTTCCTCCTCTGCCCTCAAACTCAAGAACCATTTAAAACAGCTCTTTGCAAAATACAGAAAAAACCACCCTATCCCCCCTAAAAAATAAAATAAAATATGAACAGTGCTTTTTTTTGTCCAAAGCATTCCTGATGGCATATGATTGTCAGCGGGGGCCGAGCACTTGTGTCAGCAGATCCAGCCAGCAGAGAAGTGGATGTGCATTTATTCATGCACACCCCACAGTGCCAGGGCTCGGGTCACCACCAGCCTCTATCACCAGGGACAGAGGTGGCCCCATCCTTTAGTCTCCAGGAAAATATCAGTAGGAACCTCCCAATTATGGAAAACGTATGCAGAGTCTCCCAGCGTGAATCAGCCAAGGATATTGCCTTTTAAACCCCCTTTTTTAAATGATTCCCAGCCCCTTGCTGGCCCCTCACTCCCCCCACAGATCCCAAAGAGGGTGAGAAGCAGGGGAGAACAGAAAAGAGGCGGGTCCAGGTTGGGAATAGTTGTCCAGAGGGATAAATCTCATGGTGGGGTGGGGGGTGTCGGTGTGATTTCAGAGTTAAGGGAGGGTCTGGAATGAGAAACAAAACTGGGAACGTTACACAGCAGCTGGGGAGAGTCTGAGCTGAAAAATCAGCTCTAAGATCTGGGGGCAGAATGTTCCAGGGGCTGCTGTGCCGTGGGTTTGATCCCATCCCGAGCCAACGGAGCAGCCTGGGGAGGCACATCAGGGCTGGGAACGGGGCAGAGCCAAGGGCAGCACTCCCAGGGTGTTCCTGGGCAGCATCTGACATGCAAAACACACCTGGATGTGGCACCTGGGGCCAAGGGTTAGTGGTGGCCTTGGCAGTGCTGGGTTAATGGTCAGACTCCATGAGCTCAAAGGTCTTTTCCAGCCTGAACAATTCCACGGAACACCAGCAGCTGCCATCTGTCCCTGTGTCATCTGAGCACCTCAGGGGGTTACTCAGTGCAGTCAAGGCTTGCCAAATTTTCAGACACTGAGTAGGATGTGCCTGGGGGGGCGTGGGGAGCTGCTCCCCCTCCCCGTGGCTCTGCCTTGCTGGAAATCCCATTTTCCCTCTGCCCTTCCCAGCAGATCCCGGCGAGTGCTGGAGTTTCCCATCACTTGGCTGGATTGGAGCAAAATCCTTTCAGCTCCTTGAAAATCACCTCCTCTACCCACTACACCTGTCAGGGGTGGCTGCTCCAGCGTTTCCCTGCTCCGTGGTTTTCCAGCTGAGCGTTTGGAGCCGTGCCCTGACAGGCAGATCCCTACAGAAACACCCCCCGGGAATATAACAGGAATTATGGCTGTTTGGATTCCCTGGAAGGCTGTTTGGATTCCCTGGAAGCCCCTGAATGTGAAGTGATGTTTTTACAAATGTATAAAGCGCCTGTGGGAGTCAACAGGGCTCGACAGGAATCCCAGAGCCAGGGGAGCTGGAAAACCCACTGGGGTGCTGAGCCTGGAAAATCGCTCGTGCCAACGAACCCGGCGCCAGACGAGAGATGCCACCCCCGCAAACATCACATTCCCACTCCCAGTCCTGCATCCCATCACGGATCCGTCCCCTCCAGCCCCTCTGGCACATCCTGGGGCCGGACACGTGCAAACCCCACGGCCGAGGGAGCGCAGACACCCCCCAAGCAGAGCCACGGGGACACCACGAGCGGGTTCTCCACCCTCCTGCAACCCCCTTTCCTTCACGGGCACCCCCCAAAGCCCTTCCTGGGGCTACAACCAGCCGGTTGCCTCCTGAACGGAGTTTGGGGGTGAGGAGGGGGTTGGATGAGGGTTTTTTTCCATGCAGTCCAACCACCTCCCGCCACGGGAACGCCGTGCTGGCTGTCACATGCTGTCTCACCTGAGCTGGTGGTAAAGGTTATGTACGAGTGCTCGCTGGGGCTAGACCATATGGGGAACACCCACAGCTTGTACATCATCCCCGGCGTCAGATCCGCCAGCTGCACAGAGGAAGGGGTCTGAGCCTTAACAGGGATAGATCTCTCTGTCTTGTTACCTGAGAAACAGAAACCGCACATCAAAGGCAGCCGCGGGAGGCTCCGCGATCCCCCGTGCCGACCCTGCAGGGCGAGGCTTTGTGCCCGCGACAACGAGCTGCGAACGGCTCGGGGCCGGCTCGCCGGGGGGAATCAGGGATGCGGGAATACGGGAATGCGGGAATGCGGGGTGGGTCGTGCCGCGTCCCCCTCGTGGGGGAAAAAAAAATACCGGGAGCTACTGAGATCTCTCTCCCTGCTTTTAAGACCTGGTTCTTTTTATCTGCCCAGCCCCGGGTTTGGGTATTTGGGGGTTTAGCACAGAAAAAAAAAAACAAGCTGAAATTTGCCTGGTGGTGCTCAGCTGGATGAAGGTGCTGCAGGGCTTGGTAAAGGAGCTGGTCCTTGTGCTGTTGGGGGTGATACCTGTGCATCAGGCGTTCTGGGGGGTTAAGGATGAGCTGGATAATGCATTAAACTGTGGAAGTGCCCACCCCAGCTGGCACGTTGGTGCTTTTGAGGGAAGAGTTCAGCCCTCTGACTCAAGAAGGGCTGCTCGTGGGCTGGTTGCTCCCGGGTTCTTTCCAAGAACAACCTGTTCTTTGCATTGTGCTGGGAATCGTTTGCTGATGGGCTTAATTCTGAGCATTATCCACGGAATTCCAGCAAGCCTGCAGCGGGGCTTGCTGGGTCTGTGGCTCTGGAGGTGCTGCAGGGAAGGAGAAACGTGGCTTTGAGGATTTGGTCGCCTCAAATGCCACCATAAAGGGTGGAGGAGAGCCCCGACTGTCCAGGAAGGGCTGAAATCTCCAAGATTTCCTCCCTGGGCTGGATCCTGGTGAGGGCATCCCAAGGGATTGCTGCTGCTGGCCCGGGCTCAGCACGTGGGCACTGGAAGGGCAACGCCTGTGCTTTGTGCTCCCAGTGAGGGGGGAAAACAGGGCTGGCAGAGGGTGCTTTGGGAGCTGGGATGTGTGATTATTTAGGGTTTGGCAAGCTGGTGTTATCCTGAATTTTGGAAATCATGGCCCACTGGAGCCCCTGGGGGCTGCGGAGCCAGACCTGGCTCTGCACGGGGAGTTGTTGCAAAGAGAGTTCAAGGTCATCACTTCAGGCATGTTTTAAGTGGTTTCCTGGTCTAACTGGTGTGTTTTAAATGACTTTTTCAGCTGGTGGGAGGGCTGGGGTGGCTGGGAAGTGAAGTCAGAGATAAACAGAGAGCACTGCCCGTCTGGGAAACCCCAGAACAACCAGCAACACACCCCAACATCCTTCTAAACAAGAGCCAAGCCCAGAGAGACCGAGTTTCCAGACTAAGTACGAGCCTTACAAGGTTAAGAGACAACGATATCCGATATGACAGGAGGTCTGGGATCACAGAGGATTCTGCCAACTCCAGGTTCAAAAAGCCCGTGTTCAAAGGTGTTGAAAAGCACTCTCCAATTCACCCAGATTGCACAGTTAGAGATGGTTTTGAGGCTCTTTGTTGCAGCCCAGCTCACAGTTCAGAGAGGAACAGCCTCTCCCATCTACACCTCACACACAAGGAGGGGATTCAGGATTCGCTCTGGTCCACCCCAAACAGCCACAAAGAGCAGGACCTTCTCCTCTCCCATCCTACCCCTGGCCGTGGAGCATCCCTTAGTAATTAAGGTAACTAATTAAGTGGGAGCTGGCAGGATCTCTGATGGCACCACCACCCTGTAGAGTCCCCACGCGATCTGATGCTTACTGGTGATATACTTAACCACAAAGTCAGTTCCTGCAGAGTAATTGTGGCTCCAGGTGATGTTTGCCCAGTTACTATTAGCCATAGCTCTTATGTCCCATATGGACGATCCATTGGTGGCTGGTGGACAGGTTAGAACAGGAGTTGTTAGTATTTTGGATTACAAGGAGACCTCACCCAGCAGCTGGTGCTGGTAAAACCTCACAAAATAACTCCTGGGGTCAGTGCTTTGAGCTCAGCCTAAGCGTGCCTTGTCTTTTCAAGATTCTCAGTGTTTGTTCTTTTCAAAATTCTCAATGTTTGGTTTTTTTCAAGATTCTCAATGTTTGCTATTTTCAAAATTCTCGGTGTTTGTTTTTTTTAAGATTCTCAGTGTTTGTTCTTTTCAAAATTCTCAATTTTTGCTCTTTTCAAAATTCTCAATGTTTGTTCTTTTCAAAATTCTCAATTTTTGCTCTTTTCAAAATTCTCAATGTTTGTTTTTTTCAAAATTCTCAATGTTTGTTCTTTTCAAAATTTTCATTTTTGCTCTTTTCAAGATTCTCACTGTTTGCTTTTTTCAAGATTCTCAATGTTTGCTCTTTTAAAAATTCTCAATGTTTGCTCTTTTAAAAATTCTCAATGTTTGCTCTTTTCAAGATTCTCAACTCTTATTTTTGGGGGGGAGGAGGGGAATTCTGGCAGCAGAGGCTCTGAATTCTTATTTAAGCCAAGTCCAACTGCCCCCAGCTCATCCTTGGAGCCTGGAGGCTCCCGTGGCACATCCCTGAGCAGGGAGATGAGACTGAACGTGTGGCCGGGTGGAGGTGGGAGCCACGTGCATGGCTGCACACGGACTCACTGCCACAACCAGGAGCAAAGGCTGCCAGGGATTGTTGTCACCTGGCTGGGCCTGGGGACAGCCAGGGGGGCAATGCAGTCACTCGTTTGTGAGGCTGAAGTTAAGGATTTGTGAGGTTGAAGTTAAGGATTGTCGACGTTGCTTTGGAGAGCGGATGAACTCGGGCTCTGCTGGAGTGGAGCTGATCCCCCCTCCAGAGAGTGTTTAGAGGTGTTGGGTAAGTCACACCTTGTTGTTATTCAGGGTGTAGCTCACATTTTGATTTGGCAGAACACAGATCAATCACTGCAGGCCCTGGGTGAATTTTGGGGGCACCACAAGGATCTGGTGCTTTGGGGTGACCTAAAATCCCTCTGACACACCCTCTTACAATCCCTCTTCCACCCCACAGCAGGGCTCAGCCTCTTCCCTCGTGTCCCCAGGGGGGTTGGTTGGTTCCTCTTGCACTCCCATCCCCTCTCCTTGCTCTGTGCCTCACCGTTTAATTACTTATTTTCAATTAGCAATGTTTTCCCACCCAGCAGTGACACTGTTGTGGTGATGATCTTGCTCTGTTACTGTCAGGTGGAGGCAGGACCTCCCAGCATAAGGTTTTGGTGGTTTTTTTAACCACCCTGAGCTAATCTCATGCAAGAATATAAAGAAAGGGGTCTGAACTGAGTAATAGAATCATCCCAGAATGGTTTGGGTTTGAAGGGACCCTAAAGTTCATCTCATTCCACCCCCTTCCACACCTTCCACTAGAACAGGTTGTTCCAAACCCCGTCCAACATTTAGATTTTGTTTGCATTCCTGGCTTGACTCACTTTTTAAGTGAATATAACTATCCACAATTATTTATTAACTGCAGACCCCATCACAGCAATGCTTAAAAAGGAGGCTCAGGGAGATACATCTCTAAAAACCACACGTAGTTGGGAATATTCCTCCACCAAACCAGAGTCTGATCCCCCTGTTCCAGCTGATTGCACGGGAGGTTCATCCCGACCTGGCAAACCCCTGGCTCACCCCCCCTGTGCTGTAACTCCCCCTCTGCCCAGCTCCCCTGTGGGCTGTGGCAACCCCAGAGAGCAGGAGCACAAACCCAGAGACTCCTATAAGTGCTGACAGGTCTCTCAGCCGACGGCTGATGTGCTAAATCTGAAGTGACACCTTTCTCCAGCAGCACCAGAACCCCTTTAGAGCAGCCCTGAGATGCAGGAGAACACTCTGGAGAGCCCTTTGTAGGGTTTGCCACCTCCTTCCCAAACGCTGCTGCATCACCACACCCCAGGGAGGGCTGTGACACCCCCGAGAACAAGACCAGGAGGGTGGCACTGAAGGAACAGGAGCCACTTGTACCCCGGGATTCCCGAGCCTGTGGCACCTCCAGCTCCTCCCAAAGCCACTCCAGGAGCGTGGGATGCCTTAAATCCACCCTGTGCCCATCCTGGGCGGGCTCTGGGGAAGGTGCCAGCAGGGTTTGAGGGGTTAGAGTATGAGAAATTAAAATAGGGTTTTTTTTTATATAGGTGTGTCAGGAAGTTGTGAGACATCCAAGTTCCAAAAACTGCACTTGAGCATCAGGGTCTTTTTCGGCCGGATAAGGGAAATACAAAAGTTCTTAAAAATCAAAAATCTTTTGGGGCCATTTTGTACAAAAGGTTTTCTTTTCTCTATTTTGGCTAAGGACAAAGAAAGATCCATCATCTTTGCAGCTGATTGGAATAAAGGGAAAGCCCCTTTTCAGGGAAAAGAAACCTTTTTAGGCAAAACTGAATATATTAAACTGATCTGAAAAAACTATATTTTGGGGGGCTGGGAGGGGAATTTCGGTGGCAGAGGCTCACTCTGAATTGTTATTTAAGCCAAGCCCTTAATACATTAAAATGTATTAAGACCTAAACCCAAAGGGTCTTTTTTTCGCCCCGGAAACTCGGGAAAGACCCAAATAAATTCTCCCTCGTTTCTCCGCTCCCTGAGTTTGTGCTGCTCTTCCTAAATTTTTTTAAAAGAGAGGGGTATTTCCCACGAGAGGAAAAAAACAAAAGAGGAAAGCTCAGTACCCAACTCCTGCTTTGTGGTGGCAGCCGGAGCCCTCTCGGCGGCGGCCGTGGTGCTGCTGGTGGTTGTGGTGGTGGTGGCTGTGGTTGGAGCTGTGGTTGGAGCTGTTGTGGCGGCTGGAGTTGTGTCAGGAGTAGTTGGGGTGGTTGCTGTGGCTGTGGTGGTGTCGGTGGTGGTGGTTGGGGTGGCTGTAGGGCTGCTTTGCTCCTCTGGTGGAGGCGTCCCAGTGGCGGCTGGGAGAGGGAAACACTGGCTTGGGATGTCTCCTGGGGGTGGGAAGGGGCTGCCTCTGCCCTCCACCACACTGCCTGGGGCAGGCAGGCATAGGGAAGGGTGGGATGAGAGGGAGGCAGCAAATCCCACCGGGAACACGAGGCTGGAGTGTTTGTCCCCGTGCAGGGAGTGCTTGTCCCCCCGTGCACCCGCCCCGGGGCTGGGAGAGGCACTGGGGGTGAGGAGGGGGCAGCAGAGGGGGGAGATACCCCCAGAAACACCCTCCTGTGCCCCCAGGGTGACCCTCAGCCCAGGGCTGAACGACCTGCTCCTGCTCTGCCTCGGCTCTGCCCCAGGGTCCCTCCCCACCCCGGGCTAAAATCCCCTCGGCAGGACGGAGCTGGGGGGGTTTGGGGCTGCACAGACTGTCCCCAAACCCACCATTCATCCCCCTACACAGACCTGGGGGTGGTTTGGGGCTGCACAGACTGTCCCCAAAGCCACCATCCACCCCCCTGCACAGAGCTGGGGGGGTTTGGGGCTGCACAAACTGTCCCCAAACCCACCATCCATCCCCCTGCACAGAGCTGTGCTGGGAGCACCCTGAGCTCCCTGAAAAATGAAATGGGATTTAGCTCTTAAGAAAACCCACTAATCCCATTTGTCGTGGGCCAGGCAAGCTGCAATTACATTAATTCAGCTGCCCCTGGACTACACCTCCAGCATTTCTGAGCTGCCAGCTCAGCCTGCAGCCTCCCAGCTCCTTCCACCCTGGCTGGTCTCTGTGCTAATGCTGCTGGTGATGGAGCAGCTTCAGCATTAAGGTGGATTTTTAGCTCGTGGGCGAGTGATGGATGGTGCTTTGCCATCACTGCCCCTCAAAATTTACATTTAAATTAAGACCCAGGGGTTGCTACACCCCAAGGTGTCCAGGGGGAAAGTCTGAGCAATTTGTTTGCTAAATGGCTCCCGTGTCCACGTCTCACCTGGGCTGTGTTTGCACGGGAAGGGGGAAAATGTGGCCTTTCCACCCCCACCCCAGAGTGTGGGTGAGGGTCCCACTGAGGGGGAGGACACATTGCCTTGGGCCTGCAGTGGAAAATGCAGCTGAAATGCTGCTTCAAATACCAAAGGTAACTGAGAGGAGATTCGCCCTGGGATGCTCACATTAAATTATATTTATTTACTCTTCCTGTGGATCAAGGGATTACAAATCCCTCTTTCAGGCAAATGAAACCAGCCATGATAAAAATCACCCACGGACAAGAAGAGCTCTAGGAAAGCACTTGAAAAGGAGTCCCAGCACCAAGCCAGGGCTTTTCTTTCTCACCAAGTCCACCCCCAAGGAGACCCAACCCCTAAAACCTCAGCCCTGCCAGGGATCCAAAAGCAGAGAAGAGCAGGAGGTCGCTCAGTCCATCTCCCCACTGCCCCCAGCTGCAATAGAACCACAGTTACAGCACATCCCAACCCCCCAGAGCAGCCACAGTCCCCCCCAAACCCCCAGCCCAGCCCCAGGGGTGCACCAAGAGCAGCCACAGTGCCCCCAAAACCCCCC